GGAAATCGGGCGAGCTGATCTGCTCTCCGGGTCACAGCGGCTCTCAGACGACGTCACCGGTCGCCCTGCCGCCTCTCCGCAACAACAACCACAACCCGCTGACGGTACCACACACACACACACACACACACACACACACACACACTGCTCTGTTTTGGTGTTCCCGTGTTTGCTCAGCTGCTCTACATGAACCTCTGAGGAGGATTTTCATTGATTCATCATATCAGCGGCGGTCCTGTGACTCTGCTTCTTGACACGATAAATAAAACTCGTCCGTTTGAATCCTTAAAAGATCAAATGCAGATGTTTGTGAAACTTTATCTGAGGACTTCGGGTCGGGGATGGAGTCAGCATCTCCTCCTACATCAGCTTGAACTCTGATGAAACAATTCCAGGATTCATCTCTGATGGGTTGGCTGTTTTTTGGGGAATATTTACCTCCAGATGGTTTCCTGCGATCCGTGAACTCCTGATCCTGGATGTGTTGAAGGTTTTGGTTCTGATTCCTGCTTTCTTCTCTTTATCTTTGCTGATATGGGCTCTGCTTCTGCTCCTGGACCACAGACGTGACCTTGTTCCTCAGACACTAACATGGCAGCTGGACCTGTCTGATCTTCTAGCAGAAGCTTCAGGAGCTGCTGAGTTTGGGCCTTGTGAGCCCATAAAGAACCTGGACTCCAGCAGGTCCGTTAGGGCCGAAGGGTTTCACCACATCTGATTCTACACCAGCCCTCAGGTTCTTCAGAGGCTCGGGTTGGTTCCACCAGAACCAGTAACCAGATTACCAGAGTCCATCCTGATTGGACCTGTTTGGTTCTAGTTCACCATGATCCATTTACCCATCTCTGGAGTTTTGGCCTCGGTTCTGTTGGGTTTAAGTTGTCTGATGGGAGTTAGCATGTTCTGTGCTGCAGCCGCATGGCTAATTATAGCCTCAAGACGGTATTGACCTGTTGCACCGACGTCACCTAATCACGTGGGTCCACCAGCATGTAAACGGTGAGCGACACGAGTACTAAACAAAGAGAAAAGTAGAGCCTGAAACTGTTTTTGCGATCAAAACAAAAACAAAACTCCTCCAGCGTTCCTTCAACTAGTCCATGCCCAGTTCAGTTATCAGAAGAAGTAGCGCATCTAGCCGGGCTCATAGAGAGCGGTATGCTAACTAGCTTACCAACGTTAGCTTACGTTCTCTCTGCAGCTGTTCACTGTAATGAATTAAATTACGTGTTATTTAATGAGCCATAAGGCGTAGGATTCCATAGGAAATATGAAATCCACCTTATGGATCTGTGGGTACTGTTAAACCAGAAGATTGGATCTTTTTATTGCAGGGATTAGATAACCGCTTCGTATTCACTCAGAGACAACAGAAGAGAGAGTCAAGTTTAAAAGTTTAAAGATTTATTACTAAACAAATTAAACTAGACTGACTTTAACACTGCATGTATGGTGTAACTAAGGTGGATGAGACGGTGAATGGATGAGGTGGAATGTTGCTCAGAACCAGCAAATCCGGAGAAGCGATTAGCTCTGATGGGAACTGAAGGTGATGTCTTCGCGCTAAGCTTTGGTTAGGAGATTCATAAACACATTCTACGCCATTTGTCGGTCTACGTACCCTGAGGGGAAGTCCCCGTCTAGATTAGAAGGTGTAGAGGTCCAGCTTGACCTTATGGAGCCGGAGCCTGTAGAAGAAGCCACGGCAGCCGACCAGACCAGTCTTGAGATACTCCCGGGTCATGACAATTTGTTGGCGTCTGGTGAGACCCAAACCTGGGTTGTGATGGTTCAGCTTTTATTCTGAAAGGAACCGTTGCAGCAGTTGGAACAGCAACAGATTTTATCCAGCTTGTCGTTGGTTCTTTCGGCTGAAGAGGAAAGTTACGGATTGGCCACTCCGACAACTTCTCTAGAACGCTTTGAACTGGCTTTAGAGGTGACTGGCTGCATGGTGGCGTAGTGGTTAGCACTGTTGCCTCGCAACACGAAGGTCGCAGGTTCGAAACTCGGCTGCGGCCTTTCTGCGTGGAGTTGCGTGTTCTCCCCATGCATGCGTGGGTTTTCTCCGGGTACTCCGGTTTCCCCCACAGATCACAACATGCCCTATAGGAAAAAAAAAAGAAAAAAATTGTAAGTCGCTTTGGGTAAAAGCGTCTGCTAAGCACATAAACATAAACAAACATAAACAGATGACGTGGGTATAGTTTTATACTTCGGATGTTTTGGTTTATGGTCGAATGAAAAGATGACAGATTTACCAAACACCACCAAAACCCCGCCTCCGTCACATCTGGCAGATTCTGATTGGATCAGTAAAGTAATGTGTGATGTTTTAACGCTACCCGAGATCAGTCCTAGTGGAAACATTTAAAGTCATATTACTTATTATATTCTATAGGATTATAATAAAGTAATTAATATTTTCATTTCACAGATTGGTCACATCTTATTATTGACTAACTCTTTGTTTGATTAGCTTTATTAAAATAGAGTTCTTTGATTTATTAAAGGAGAGAGTCCTTTCTTCATTCTTCTGTTGAGCTGGAAAGAAGCAGTTTAGAGCAAAGGCATGAGACCTTGAGGCCGTATCTCATGCAGACTAGTTCTGTGTCAGAGGAGAGGGGAAACGGTTATTTCATTCTGATACATCACCGATGTAAACATGTTGCTGACTTTGCCTAAATTCACCCCTCTGGATTTATAACTTTATGTTATAAACAGCGTTTCACTTTACACCAAAGCTGATTGTTAAAAAGTCCGGATCCCTACCAGCTTCTGTTGCTGGTGGTGTCACCGGGTTCAGCTGCTGCTCTCACACCGGAATGAGAAGATCTCTGAACGCCGACACTCATATAAATAAATAAATAACGTCATTTTAACTCATGTAATCATACATCGGAGCTTTAATATTGTTAATAATTGTCCCGCTTTACACTACAGTGGACGGAGCGCAGCCTCCGTGGTGAAATACCCGTCCATCAGGATTATCAATATCTAGTATAAACACATCACATGTATCCCTGTCCCGGTCTTCCTCGTGAAATAAATGAACGTTAATCTTACCCGGTAAAAACACGTTCGCTGCTAATCTGATGCCTGCTAGTCCGCTTGATTGATCGCTGCGGTTCACCTCCGTCCTCAGTCTCCATCAAAGTTATTAAGAAGAAAAAACGAGTTGAGTTTACGTCCTCGTCTGTTAGTGCAGCCGACCACGCAGCAAGCTGAAACCATTTTACTGTCACATCAACTCAATAAAAGTGATAAAAGGCTACAAACTGGCTTGTTTTGGCTAGCTTCACCGGAGTTTCTACGGGTGTAAATGGTCTTTTTGCCGTCCATCATGGCGAAGGGGGCGGTCACATGAGTGGCGTGACGTCACGTGGAAAGGGTCAATAAACAGCTGATTGGTCTAATGGCTGTAGTAAAGGGCGCACACACACACACACACACACACATGGAATTAGCTGAACCCAGTCGTTCATTCTGACTGGTCATTGTTGAGTTTTAAATTAAAACATTTTATCACCTACAGACATGGTTTCTGATCTCCAGACCTCCAGGGGACGACCAGCAGACAAACACACCAGTCTGATTTTATCTGTCTTTCCTTCAGGGCGGCTCTAAAGCGGCCATGTCGGACTCCGCCCAGCTGCCGTCGCAGTCCCAGGTCCACATCGCTCAGCTGTACGAGGAAAACAGCAACAAGCGCTCGGTTCTGACCTCCCAGCCCAACGGCCTGGTTCCAATAAGCTCCACCCGGCCAGGCCTGCCCATCCCAGACCGACAGACCTCAGCGTCAGAGCCCGCCCACAATGGCCGCCAGGGCAGTGCCACCTCTAACAAGTCGACGGACGGCAAGCCAAAGCAGAACCCCCTGAGTCCCGAGCAAGCCTTGAAACAGTTCATGTCCAAGTTGAGCTCGTTCGAGCACCACGAGGTGTTCAGCTACCCTGAAGGTGAGCGGCTTCCAGCGGTCATTGGTGACACGGGTTGGTACTAACGTGATCCATCGGCTCTGTTCTGGTTCTGTTCTGCTCAGTGTTTTTTGTTGGTCCGAACGCAAAGAAGAGGTCGGGAGTTCTGGGTGGGGCCAACAACGGTGGCTATGACGATGATCAGGGGTCCTACATACAGGTCCCACATGACCAGGTCGCCTACCGATACGAAGTCCTGAAAGTCATCGGGAAAGGCAGCTTTGGACAGGTCCGACTTTTACCGTCCACGTCCAGATGTCACCCATCTGATCCAACTCACCAAAGTTTAACAGGAGTGTCGGATTATTCTTCCTCCACAGGTGGTGAAGGCCTTTGACCACAAAACCCAGACCCTCCTGGCTCTGAAGATGGTCCGCAACGAGAAGCGCTTCCACCGGCAGGCGGCGGAGGAGATCCGCATCCTGGAGCACCTGAGGAAGCAGGACAAAGACTCTAGCATGAACGTCATCCACATGCTGGAGCACTTCACCTTCAGAAACCACATCTGCATGACCTTCGAGCTGCTCAGCATGAACCTGTACGAGCTGATCAAGAAGAACAAGTTTCAGGGCTTCAGCCTCCTGCTGGTCAGGAAGTTCGCCCACTCCATCCTTCAGTGTCTGGATGCCCTGCACAAGAACCGCATCATCCACTGCGATCTGAAGCCCGAGAACATCTTACTGAAGCAGCAGGGTCGCAGCGGCATCAAGGTAAGATGGATCATCACCGGGAAGCTCCATCAAAGGACAGGAATACCTTACAATTCCAATCAACTGTCCTGTCTGTTCTACTGCAGGTCATAGACTTTGGTTCCAGCTGTTACGAACATCAGAGGGTCTACACCTACATCCAGTCCAGGTTCTACCGAGCACCTGAGGTTATTTTAGGTATGAGACAAGCCTACAGAGTAGCTAGGGGTCAGGCCGCTGAATAACGCCTAAAAATCCACGTTTGGACATTCCCAAACATCAAACATGAAGACTAGGGGAAATGAGGCCATAACCGAGGAGGTAATCTCGCTGGTGTTTGTCTTTGTCTTCCAGGTTCCAGGTATGGGATGGCCATCGATATGTGGTCTCTAGGCTGCATCCTGGCAGAGCTGCTGACTGGTTACCCCCTGTTGCCCGGTGAAGATGAAGCGGACCAGCTGGCCTGCATCATCGAGCTTCTGGGCATGCCCAGTCAGAAACTCCTAGACACCTCCAAGCGGGCAAAGAACTTTGTGTCCTCCAAAGGGTTCCCGCGTTACTGCACCGTCACCACGCTGCCCGATGGATCAACGGTGCTGAACGGGGGACGCTCACGCAGGGGGAAGGCACGTGGCCCTCCGGGCAGCAAGGACTGGAGCGCTGCCTTGAAGGGCTGCGAGGATGCGCTTTTTCTGGACTTCCTCAAACAGTGCCTGGAGTGGGACCCGGCAGTCAGAATGACACCGAGCCAGGCGCTGCGGCACCAGTGGCTCAGGAGGAGACTCCCCAAGCCACCGATGGGAACAGCCACCGGGGACAAGACGTCCTCCTCCAAACGAAGCACTACCGATGCTGCCGTGACCTCCATCTCCAAACTCGCCACAACCACCTCCTCCTCCACCACCTCCACTTCCAAAGCTAGGACTAACTTGGCAGCGATAACCGATGCCAATGGAAACATCCAGACTCGAACGGTTCTGCCCAAACTGGTCAGCTGAGAGACGGCACACCCCACCTGCTCTGGTGGGAGAACCAGTCGGACCTGAATTAAACTGGTGTACCCAGTTTTTTAAGCGCATTTGATTTTTATTGCACTGCAGGGGTGCGTTTAAGTCACATGCAGCCATGGAAACTTGATTGTTGAAACGTGCAAAGTGATCAGAAAACGTGAGCAGAGCTGGTCTGCGTTTGGAGATGACTCCAGATTCTTTTGTCCCATCGGAAAAAGACGAGATTTGAAGGCAGAAGGAGGTGAGAACATGTGAGTCGACTGGTGCGGTTCAGACAATCCAACACTTTGTGCTAATCTGTAGCTTCAAACAACAAAAACGTGGTGCTAATGGAGGGAACAACATGTTTTTAGGATCTTTAGTTTTTAAAAAATTAACACCAAAAATATTCAATAACTTCACAAAGTTAAAATTCAGAGAAAGTTCCTGTTCTCTGATCAAGATGTGAAGAATCCTGTTGATGCTAAAGCGGCTGGATTGTAGCTAAAAGACTCAAAGATTTAACAGCTTTCATTTGAACATCTACCTGTTAGCTAGCTAACTAGCCTAGGTAGCATTTGTTTTGTGTCGACTAGCTAGCCGGTAGTACCAAGCTGGCATAGCGCCTGTCAGCTGGTTAACTGTGAACTAACTGGACAGCTAGTTGTATGTAGCTGTTCACCTTTTTACAATTAAACTGGCTAGCAGTTAGCTTTGCAAACTTACGGCTACAGCTAACTGTAGCGACACACTGTTTGCCTTCAGTCTCCTGGCTAGCCCTTAGCCGATATTAGCCATAGCGTGTCAGCTCTCCACTGCCCAACCTTATTTTACAGACGCAACGACTAAATGATTTTACAGTTTAGCATTAGCACGTTTGTTAGCATGCAGGCTAAACAAGAAGGACCGTTGATGTCTGTGTTCATAAGAACCAGTTTTTCTCTTTTTATGAACCAAATATGGGTCTTTAGGCTGATTGAGAAGTAATTAACAACTTAAGTCACGTCCAAGGGCTCCGGTGTTTTAACATTTTTACTCTCTGAGAAAAAAATAAATTAGTAAATTGTTTTAATTTTGAGCAAATCTTCAACAGAAGTAGTTGATGTTTATACAACATCACACAAAGGCCCACTGGATACCAATAAGTCCTGTGTAACAAAACTATTGTTATAAATAAGCTTATTGTTATTTATCTGTTTCTGTAAGGCTGTAAACACAAATGTAGCTCTGGGCACGGTTCCAGAAACGCACCAATCATAACAAAGTGGGCGGAGTTCTTAAAGAGACAGGAATCAAATTCATAAAGGTTTCAGCAAAAGTAAGTAATTTGATTATCATAAACTTTTAAAAACATTTTAACTGCAAGTAAAACTAAACTCACCAAACTGGCAGAAAAGATGATGACAAATTGGCTTCTTGTTTCGTAGCAAACGGGATTCTCATGTTTGTTTAGTTGTTTCTGATGCAACCCGAAGTTTTTATCGGCTCATGAAGGAGTTATTTCTCCGTGTCTAGCTGTGGCTGGAGCTAGCTTCTTAGCTAACGTTGTGATTCAGTGTTGATGGGTGAAAGGGGGGGGGACTGAGGAATTAATTTATTTGCCATATTTTAATATTTAAGTCAAATCTGTGTATTTACTACGATGTGCAGTTTATACTGTATACTTGAATGTGTGTGAGTGCGCAATATCAAAAAATTTCCTAACCTATGTTCACACACACACACACACACACACACACACACACACACACACACACACACACTATATATAAACATTGAGACACGGACGTTGTTCCTGAATGCACCGTGATCGTCGAGTCATGTGAGGAGGAAGTGATTTGATGAAGAAGTGAAAAAGGTTCTGAATATCGGCCCTGATCAGGCCGTCGATGTGATGTAGCTCACAGGAAGTGGACCACTGCGGGCTACAGAAGGAACTGACTGTCAACGTAACTGCGCCGCCCTTCTCAGAAGCCCCGCCCCCTGCCGAGGGAGCAGGAAGGTAGTGGGGAGGGAATCCTGTGATGTTTTTGTTTTTTTTAAAGATGTGATTGGTTGTGTTTTTAATAATTTTTTAGGTGAGGAGTTTCTTGAGTCGTAACTTTGTGCCTTCAGTATCTCAACGCCATGTCACGCCCCAACACACACACACACACACACACACACACACACACACACACACACACACACACACACTCATTTACAGTTAGCTGACCCTTTTAAATACCTAATAATTCTTAAGACGTTCTAACAAACTTTAAAAGAACTAAATATTTCTAAGCTGCAGACAGATTTGATGACTAAAATCTCTGGAACAGTTTTCTGACTACCTCAAACCAAGCATCTCACTTCGCTGTGGATGCTGACTAAAACTACTTCCAGGAGGCACTTTGTCTCAAAGTGTTCTCGAGTGTTTTCAGTGTCGTCTTGTGAGTCTCTGAGTCTCACTCTTGTTGTGAACGTTTTCTCAGATAAATGATGAGAAACTAAGCTCATTTCAAAATAGTCACATTTTAAGTTTCTGCTAATCATAAAATGTGAGACGGGATAAGACTTAATTACTGGAGATGCACTGATGATGGGTGGGCTAATAGCGACTTCTGATTCTCGTGCAGCTAGAACCAGTTTAATCCTGTTTATTTTAAAGAATCAAACACTTTGATCAGGCATAGCTGATGGGAATTAGCACTTAGGAATGGTTTACAGACTTGGAAAAAGGTTGAATGGCTGCTTAGCTACGATGCATTGAGGGGTGGGGGCCTAAACCACAATTCCAGCGGACCACTAGAAGGTACTTTAGATCTTTGTGGAATCAAACTTCTCCGTGGTGTCTTTTCAATGTAATCCTGACAAAGATAGCTTTACCTGTCAAATTACTTTCCCCAGTTTGTTGCCGGCAGTCACCATCACGAGAGATTCTTCATCATCAAAGGAGAATCACGGCGTGGTGTGTTGAGTGCAGAGTCATCCAGGGCATGGTCGTCTAGAAGGTTTACTTCTAACAACTGGACTTTTCTTGTCGTTGCCGACGATCCTGGAAAACTGTTAGGATCATCGGCACCAACGACACAAACGGGGAGCTGAATAGAGGGAGGGGCCTGGGACTCATGACATTGACGTCCTCATTAGTGAGTCCTATTGCCCTATCAGGGTTTTGGTTTTCGATGGTTTCGATTTTCAAACCTGCAACCTTCTTGCTGCGAGGCAACAGTGCTAACAACTGTGCCACCATGCAGCCCGACTCCTGCCAATCCAAGCCGTTTTTACAAAACAATGCCGTCAATTTTCCGCAATGCCATGGTGGTACCTGGGAGCCTTGGGTCTTTATAAGTGATCAGACCGTGGCGGTAATGTGGCACGATCATGTCCTTTTTACAAAAGATTACGCGATGGCAGCATAAAGGGGGTATGGGAGCGGTATGCCCTGCCGCGGACTTCCGTTTATCTTGGACATGACTTGCTTTTGATTGCGATCGAAGCCACGATCACTACGTTTTTTAACAAGCCGCTCCTAAAGGTTTCTGTCCTTCAGCTCCAACGGAGAGAAGCTCATGCAGCGCTGACTCACATCAGTTTATCATTTCAGCTGCTTCTGTTCACAAAAGTGAAACGTATTGATCGTGTTTACTTTCATTATCAATACAGTTGCCATCCGGAGCTCGGCAGGGACTCCCCACGTGATCATAATTCTGTTGCGCCAAGATATAATCGCCTTTCACGAGACAGACAATTACTACGATATAATAACCGAGCAAGGCGGAACGAACGCCACTAATTTAGCGCATCACTGTACCGGCGCGTTTATAAGACACACCAATGCTGTAATATTGCACTGATTTGCCAACACGGTGTGTCTCATAAATAAAAAGGGTTTCAAGTTTCAGAACTGAAGAAGCTTCAAAGACGAGAGGCAAAATGCCTTCAAGGAAAAGAAATAGTCAAGTTGTTCCAACAAGAGTTTCAAGATCAAAGGAAATATTCATCTTCAAGAGCTCATCATTGTGTTCCAGTAGAATAAACTTTATTAATCCCACAGTGGGGAAATCCACTTGCCATACTAGCTGATTCTCTTAGTTATTTTTGTTCATAACTAATACTAAACCAACTGAAACCAGATTTCTACTGGTAACTGGCCAAATTTTTATTTTGATTGGACGTTGGCCTCCATAAATTCCAATAGTAGTTTAGGATTTTCTTCAATTCATTTATCTTATTTCCAGATTCAAAACTCTTCCGCGAGCCTCTTTAACGTCTACAAAGCCAACGGAGGAAGCTAACTACGTATCGTAGCTTTAAACTGAACAGCTCAAATCAATTTGTGTGTGTGTGTGTTGGGTAGGGGCTTTCAACATGGCTGCACAATGTACAGACACATATCAGCCAACTTTTGTTACCTTTCGCCTCGTGACTGAAGGGCAACATCTTCTGATGACGGAGCTAAGCTAACACTAGCCGTTTGCTGCACTGACATTTGTTTTCTCTGTGGTGAAGCTAACACTAGCCTCCTGCTAACTAAATGCTAGTAGCAAGAAGCCATGTTTAGCCTGCTAAATGTGAGCTCTTCCCTTTGGTGCCCACATCCTGTTAGTATTAATTTAATGCATTATTTTTACATTTGTACCTCAGATTGAATTGCTGTTGTCATTGTAATGACTAACACCCAGGGCATTTGGTGAAATCTACCAAAGTGCATTCCATTACACAAGTAGATAAGCGCTAGCTGTTCTAGCAAACACACAGAAAGCCGAGAGAAGAGTTAATATGATTCAAATGTAATTAATGGCTGCAGTCATACAAGAATAGAAAGTCTGTTTAACTTTCTTTTTAGTAGCACTTCCAAAAAGTTTTTTTTACTTGTGTGTTAACAGCGACAGCCTGTTAGCCAACTAGCTAACAATGACAGCGTTGCGTTTCTGACAAGTTTGCCAGCTGGGTTTGTTGTTCCATTCTAGTGTCAATAATGTTTGAATTTACATTTTAGGGGAGGATGTTGAATGCAGCGTGGCCAGTTTTACTACGTACTGTAACTACTGTACAGAACAGACAATTTTCTAGTGAGCCTTTGTTAAATTTTAATGTGGTGGGAAAAATTAAAAGTTTCATTGCTAATTTTCATGTGCTGGTCTTTTATGAATTAGTGTTTCAGAACTTGAATTCACTCATTTATTTTTCCTGTCATTATTTTTGTGCTTTCTTAAACCTTTTTTAATGTAGAAATTGGAGATGTTTTGTTTAATTCAGAATGTATGCACCGTATAATCATCTATTGAAATGTAAATTCAGTGCCCCACGGTTGCCGGGCAGCATTAGGAAGTTCCAAAGTTCCTAAGTTTCCTGCTCCTCTGCCCTACTGGTTAAAAGTGGAATTACAACTGTCATTAATACCCATGTATCAGCCTGCTGTAGCTAGCACCAAAAACGAGCTAACACTAACATGAGGCAAGTCTTACCAAATAAGCTACAAATTAAAAAGATACACACTGTCTGACAAAAATATTACTTAGAAGTCCAGTAGCAACAAAGCCAGGTCACCATCAGTCCATGATTTTACAGCCTCCTTTAGCTCCCTCAAACTAGCGTAGGCCGCGCCAATGTTTACTCTGGTTTTAGCTATTTGCTTCACATCCAAAGACATTACCCTCTGACTCCACCATGATGCCAACAAAAAAAAGCTAACTTCTTTTTTCTTCTTCTCGTGTTTTTTATTGACAGTCGCCAAACTAAAAGCTAATTGCTTGTTTTTTATTAGCTACTGGCACAGAAAATAGCTAACAGCTGATAAACAGGTAAAGAGCGCCCCTAGGACACTTAACCCGCTCCACAAAACTATTAAGTGCTGTATCTGGCCAATTGAGGGCTGGTGAGCTGTGTCAAATATGAAACTAGTCAACTTTTAAACTCAACAATCACTGAGATCAATGTTAAAGGTGTGGTTCACTGAGAAAACATTTTTCAAAATGTTGTCTCTGATTATCGGCCACTCTAGATTCAGATGGTGAAACTAGGATTAGAAAAGCCTGACAGATCTATGTCACACTTTCACTTTGGTTGAGGCCCTCACCAATAGAAAATGACTATGATGAAGGGCCATTTAGGTTTCCACCTTGGTAGGCGCACAGGTCATATGACCAGTCTCTGCCAGCAATAGCAGGAGCCTTTAGCAGATGCACAAGTATTTTCTTGGTGCAATTTCCATCCTTTTTCTGTTCTCGTCGAACACACAGAGTAGCAAAGCTATTAACTTATTTTCTGACAGTTTTGGCTACTTCCTGTCAGAGTTTTGGCGGTGTCACATCTTTTGCTGTTTATCTGAGGCAGTAGATGACGATGATAAATGGTAACGGATGTGACACCACCAAAGCTCTGACGAAGGCGACAGGAGGTAGCTGATCTCAGCAAAATAATGTAAAAACCTTTGTTACTCCGTGTGTTAGACAAGAACCGAAAACCAATGGAAACAGAAAAGAACAAAACAAGGAATTTTTATTATTTTAACAGAATTATAAAGGTTCCCATTTGTGACCTAGCCGTAACTCTTAGCTGTGGGTGGGTGGGTGGATGGATGGATGGATGGATGGATGGATAGACAGACGGACAGATAGCTAGATAGATGAGAAGTTCTGAATAGTTAGATGGTTGTCTGGTTTTAACAAGTTCCTCCTATTAGATCTTCCCCAAGAAAAGAAACCTTGTTTTGAACAAGGGTCAGGTCCCTATTTTATTAGTATTTTAACTTATTTCATTGCTTTCTTTAATCGTCTTTGGTAAGTTCTTGCTGTGTCTGATTTCTAATTCCATTTTTGGTTCTTTTTTTTAAACACAGAAAAGGTTTCTCTTTACCTTGCTTGCTGATAGTTTCGTTCGTGGCTGCAAACATCCTCAAAGCTGATGCTGATGGTGGTGTCACTTCCTACTCCGTTTATCTGGAGCTTTCTTTAATTGTGTGGTGATGCTGTTGAAGCAAAATTAGTTTGATGTTTTATTAAGATTTCAATTTATCATTTTAGTTCAACTTAAATTAAAAATAAAGAAGCTATTTTGGAGATGAAGAGATGCACTGACACACACTTTTGCATAGATCGTTTTTTTATGAAGGGTGGGGGTGGTGGCACCACAGAGCATTTGTTCTTAGGGCACCCAAATGGCTAGCACCGGCCCTGCATTTAATAAATGATCATCAGGGAATGTCCAGACCACATCCAGACAGACCCATCCTCTCTTCACAGCTGGGATGTTTATGCCTACAACGTTTTCCTTTTCTTTCTAACAACATTCCTACTTTTAAGTAGCAGAGTCCTCCTCTTGTTTTGACATTATGTTTCTTGTACTCCGGATCTATATTTCTGTTTGGATGTCATCTCTCCTCAGCCATGGACTTGTCGGCACACCACAGGTTTGTCAGGTGCACGTGTCAGATGACTCGTCTACTGTCTTCAGCTTCTCAGAGGAACGTAGCAGAGGGCAATAGTTTCATTTGTAACCCTTCACAAATTGATGGTCTAATTTATGGAGTTACTTCTTTACGTGTGGCATTAGATGATGTTGCCCCTTTAAAAAAGAAGGTAATTAGCGACAGGAAGTTGGCTTCCTGATTTAATTCTCATTTACGAACTTTAAAACAAAACTCTAGTAAATCGGAGAGAACATGGCGCTCTACACACCAGGAGGAGTCCTACCTATCCTGGAAAAATAGTCTTGTGCTTTATAAAAATAAGCTTTAACAAGCTAGAACTGCTTATTTTTCATCGCTAATTGAGGAGATTAAGAATAATCCTAAATTTCTTTTCATTACAGTTGCTAAACTCACACAGAATCATAGCTCTGAGCCATCTATTCCCTTAGCCCTCAGCAGCAATGACTTCATGGCAGGCGTCTCCTGGTCATCCCTAAAGTCAGGACACAAACTCACGGCGAGGCGTCCTTCCAGTGTTACGGCCCTCGCCTCTGGAACGAGCTGCCGGAGGACCTCAGGGCCGCAGAGAACGTTCATGTTTTTAAGTCCAGGCTCAAGACCCGTCTTTGTAGGTTAGCTTTTATCTAATTATTTACTACAGTTTTATTTCTCGTTTTACATGATTATATTTTATTACTTGCTTTGCATGTTGTATATGATTATATTTTAGCACAGTTTTATTATTTAAATTATTATTTTACTATTTATATCATTTTATTTATTACTTATTTTCTAATTGTTGTCATTTATATTAGCTCTTTTATTACATTTTTACTCATTTTAATCCAGTGTTTCCTCTGTGGGGGCCCTCTGCCCGGGGAGCGGTGGTCGACTGTAGCTTCCTGGGCGCTCTATAGGTGGGGGTCTATGCCCCCCCTCCACTGAGCGCCCTGACTTAGTGTGGAAGACCTGATGCTGCCGGGACAGATGGCTCCTCTGATGGCGTTTCCTTGCGTTACCATACATGGCTCATCTGGACTCAGCCTAATATAATTTTTACTTGTGTGTGTGTGTGAGTCTGTGTGTGTGTGCGTGTGATTGCATATGTTTGTTAATGTTTTTAACCTGTTATGGGAATCTGGGGTCATTTTGTAAAGCACTTTGAATAACACTTTGTTTGAAAAGCGCTTTAGAAATAAAATTTGATTGATTGATTGATTCATGGGATTCACAAGTAAAATTAATTCTATTAGAAACAAAATCTTTAGCATCCTCCCTAATGCGATTTCTTCTTCCTCAGTAAGTGAGGCACCATCAGAGGTGACTGTAGAACCTCATCTGTGTTTGAACCGTTTTGATCCAGTTGAGCTTTCAGAGTTATCAAAAATATTAGCTTCATCTAAACTTTCAACTTGCATTTTAGATTCATTCCCAACCAAATTATTTAATGAAGCATTTCCTTTGGTTACTGCCCCCATTCTAGATATGATCAATCTATCCTTAGATAGATATCATTTTGTTAATGTACATGACAAATCTTCTTCATACTCCAGTGTTACTTGTGGAGTACCACAGGGTTCAGTGCTTGGACCAATTCTTTTTACTATATATATGCTTCCAATTGGTAAAATCATTAGAAAGCATGGGATAACGCGAGACCCCAGGTTCTGAAGTCCGTAGATTAACTGAAGTACGACCAGGTCAGTCCAGAGTCATCTCCAGGTGACGACAGTTGGAACTAGTTTGCGTCTCAGGAATAACTCTTAAGGAGTTGAACATATCAACTTTTTTCTGCAGGAACTGTGTTGTTGTATCAGCTTTGCAGGTGCACAAAGGTTTTGACGACATGTCAAAAGCTTTGATGGATAAAGAGGATTTTGCTTCAGGTGGCTGGTCTGAAGCTTTCTCTAGAACTGAGGGAAAACCCGAGCAATCTGGTTTTAATGTTCTCATGTTATGATTTGTGTAGCCAACCAGAGGTTGACAAGTTTGAGGAATATTACCAAGGATCTCAGAAACACGCCTTCTTTAATCTGGAGGCTCTGATCTGAGGCAAAGGCCAATTATGTGTCATGGATTTAACTTTACCTTACTTTGTTCTCGTGTGAGTGCAAATGGTGATGACCTTGTCAAATAAACATGCAATCAATCATTGAGAACAGAGTAATGAAACATTCATTATTTTATAGTTATTATAAGTAGTAATAAACAAACATTTATTTAATGATTATCTAGCTTATAAGTTTTAGAAGTTCATATTTAATTTGAAAATCTTCTTTCTTCTGTGAAGCAAGGAGTCTTAGATAAGAGGGGTGCTCTGTGAGGGACCTTGAGGAGAGAATGTTTATTGTTATGATGTCATTATCTCTATCAGAGCTGCAGGCTCTGAGCTCCAGCTGGTGGGACGAAGGCAGGCTGATTTAAAGGGAACACATGCAGTCTCCTTTTTGACCAGATGTTGGATGGTCAAACAGTACCCAAAAACTGACAATTGCTGGACATTACATATCCCCCCTTTGCAAGGGCACGGGGTCCTGGCGAAACCACGGGCCGTTGCACAGTCCCAGAGGCCCTAAGGACTCAGTCGAGGAAGCACAGGTTAGTTTCCAGGCATCAGGAGTGAGGAAAGCAACCCCCCACATCAGAGAACAGTCAATGTGGCTCCCAAACTTAAGAAGGGTAACTCCACTTATCATATTCCTCAGGAAGGAAGCAG